TTCAACAGAGGAGAGAGAGCTTGTCCACAAGTTGGTGTGTTCAGTAAAGTGGCAGGCAACCGTTGGAGAAGAAGGGAAGAAGAGACCGAGATACTAATACCCCTTCACTCCTATTCTAATGGTACATTTAAAGTGCGGAAGTTTCCACTCAGACGCGGAACTTCCGTGTAGGCCAGAACAAAATAGGAATTAGGTCTACCTAGCTTTCTTTTGGCTTTAGGGTTTTTGTTGTCTTGCAAAAGCACATGATTCCCCTTAAACTTTCACTTTATGTCCCCCTTTATAGTATGACGCTATCTATACTCAAATTCAAAATATAAAAGTAAAGTAAGCCTTCAAACATCCAAACACTGCTTAGAAAATAATTGGGGTTTCACTCTTGTTTCCATACACCTATTGAAAGGTCCTAGTTTGGTTTTGGTAATTGAGTGACAACCTAGGTGGACTAATGTGTTTAAATATGAGATACACATGTGACTAGTCCACAGGTACACTTGTGTGAGCAACTCATGCCATGACGGTGAAGATGGCTTGGATTTGTTGCAAGGTTCACACATGTGATGAAGGAGCTCATTGCATATGAGACATGACATTGAGTCATGTGACTAAGGTGGAGAAGATCAAGACAAGACTTGGCTTGATGGACAGGTTGCAAGCGTGAAGGGCAAGTTGGAGTCTTTGGAGCGATGGATTGCGTGGCGGTGAAGCTTGAGCAAGACTTGGCATCGATGGACGAAGGCAATGGTGAAAACCAAGTGAGGTCAAGATTGATGAACCAACAAGGTCACGTGATGATATGAAGTGGATCATATCATTAGTGATATGGTTGGTGCATGTGTTGCATCAACATCGGAGGAGATGAAATAGAATGCGCAAGGCAAAGGTATAACCCATAGGGCATTTCATTTCACCGGTCATAGATGTGTAGAAAAGTTTATGACCGGGTTTAGGATAGATGGCCATACTATTAAGAGGGGCAAACTTGTTTGCGTATCGGTCATCTAGTGCTACTTGAGCGAGATAACTTTGCATACGTGTTAGGATCGAGTGGCGTGGTGAAAGAATTGACTAATCCTTTGGGAGATGTTTGTGAAAAGCTAACACACGTGCACAAGGTGGTGTATCTCTTGGAGTGTTAGCACATTTGCAAAGGTGTTGGAAAAGGTGAAGAAAAGGAGGCGAAACTGGGCTCGGGGTGTTGCCTGGGTGGCACCACCACCCCCTGTCCGGTGGCACCGCCATACCTACGGCGGTGCCCACCTGACCCTTGCTCAGAGCAGCAGCAGTGGAGGTGTCACTGCCATGTCCGGTGTGCATCGCCGTTGGGAGGGCGGTGGCACCGCCAGGGGTTGTCCGGTGCATCGTCGTTTTTCACCCGAGAGCGAGGAAGTTGGTGTTGGTCACCGCCTGGGCACCGCCATGCCTAGGTCGGTGCACCACCGCTTTTTTCTACAGAGTTGGTACTTCACGGCGTTGGCCTGTGTGGTCACCGCCACCCCTGTCCGGTGACTAGTCGTGGAACACTACTATAGAAAATATTATGCGAGATGTTTTGAAAATGGCGTCGGAGCCGAGCGGACATTTGAACCGCCTCGGTTAATGCCCGGGATTAACCGCGGCGATAATATTCAACCGCCTCACAAAATTGATTTATGGAGGCTGTTAAAAAATAATTGCCTCCTAAAATCTATTAACGGAGGCGGGCCTTATAAGAGACCCGCCTCCAAAAATACCCCCATTTTCAGAGGTGGGCCTCTTATAAGGCCCGTCTCGGTTAATAGGCTGAGCACTAGCAAGCCTAGGAAAACCATGGCCCATACTACCCTTACCGGGCTTATATATATTGCAACTTAGGGTTTTCTTCTCACTTCTCTCTTTCTCTCCCTCACTCGCCCGTTCCTCCGACGGCACACAGGGAACGTCGCACCTGATGCCTCCTTCCTCTCCCTCCGAACCTCTCCCTCAGTCACCCCTTCCTCTCCCTCACCTCCACCTCTCCCTCACTCGCCCCTTCCTCTCCCTCACCTCCACCTCTCCCTCATGGTAACCCCAGTAGCGCTCTTCCCTCTCCTCTCCCTCTCCCCCATAGCCAACGCGGCCAGGGCGCATACACCTCCCTCTCTTCTCGATCTTCGGCGATGGTGGCGCAACCCTCTCCCTCCCCCTCTCCATTGAGGTCGCTGACGCATAGGGAGGCCAAATCTAGCCTCGGCGCGGGTGGATCCAGCGATGGCGCGAGAGGATCCGGCGACGGTGGCACACGGGGAGGCCGGATCTAGCCCCAGCGCGGGTGGATCCAGCAACGGTGGCGCATCCCTCTCCCTCTCCTTCAAGCTCACCGGCACATAGGGAGGTCAGATCTATCCCCAGCGCGCGTGGATCCAGCGATGGTGGCGCATCCCTCTACCTCTCCCTTGAGCTCACCGGTTCACGGGATGACTGGATCCGGCCCCCGCGTGGGTGGATCCGGGGACGGTGTCGCATCTCTCTCCCTCTGAGTTGGCAGTGCAGAGTGGGGTCTGCTCCCTGACAGCGGCGGCGGTGCGCTGGGGCGGCAGAGCCAGGCCCAGATCCAGGCCCGGTTAGGGCTAGATATGGGCTTTTTCTTTCTTTTTTGTTTTTTATTTGATTTACAGAGGTGGGCATTTAAACCACCTCGATAAAGATCTATTTACCATGACCTTTGCATCGAGGCGGTTGTGATGCCTGCCTCAGTTAATCACTTTTGCCCGCCTCGGTTAATTTTTCTGTAGTAGTGGAATTTGACCATTGGGAGGGGCACTGCCCAGCCAGGCACCGCCGTGTCCGGTGCCCTTGCAGGAAAGGGAATATTTGGAGCAACAACTCTATTTGGCTTGAGGGCTATAAATAGAGGTGGAGTTCGGCCTTAGGCTGTTGGCTGAGCACCCTTAAGCCTTAGTGGCTTGTGTAGGTGTGCTTCGGAGCCCTCTAACTCACATACGCTTGATAGTGATCATCCGAATGAGTGTGAGTGCGATTCTAGTGCGATTGCATTGTGAGAGTGCATTGAGTGGCACTAGGTGTTCATGTTGCAAGCCGGTGGTGCTTGTTACTCTTGGGGGTTGCCACCTCCTAGATGGCTTGGTGGTGCTCTCCATCGAAGCACGCAAAGAAGATTGTGCAGTGCTCTGGAGAAGTGATTGTGAGGGAGATTGTGCTCACCCCGTAGGAGCCACGAAGAGCAACACTAGTAGGGCATGTCATTGAGCTACCCTCACTTGTGGGTAGGTTCTTGTAGTGCCCAATGTTGGTGGTCACTAATGATCAAATCCGACCACCAATTAAAGTCCAAAATAGGAGAAATAAATAATCTTTTGACACATACGCCTTTACTATTGACCTAGTTCCACTTGTATTGGAGAAAACATGTTTTGCAGGACACACATTCGAATACAAGTGGAAAACAAAGCAAAAGGCACAAACCAGAAAGCGTAATGCAGATTCTACACCAAAGAGACAAGCAAAGGCCGACTCCAATGAAGAATCTGGGCCGAGCACCAACGTGGGAAGGGGCTAGGCCCATCCAGGAACTAACCACACGAAGGTGGTCGTGGGGTGGCCCCACCAGGGTGTGGGCGCACCAGGGGTGGGCCGCACCCCTGCTGCTGCCTCCTAGGCCTGGCTTCCTCTAGCGGTTGCATGCCACCATGCAACGTTGGTTTCCGATGGTTTCCTATTTTACCAAGGCCAAACCGACCTTCTCACTAGTATAAGAAGAGGGGTAGTCTCACCTTTCAACACACACATCATTTGGAGCTACACACCTCACTTCTCTACTTGTAATCTTTAGTTCTTAGTAGTAGTTTGGAGCTAGCAAGAGCTATCAAGGAGGGCTTGGCTCCTTGGAAGAAAAGAGAGAAAAACTTGGTATGAATATGAAGAGAATTTCTTCCATAGTCATGCTCTCACATCTTCAATATAGTAGTGCATATGAACTAGAGTATAGTTGTGTTGTTATAATCATGATATATGAACTAGCATATAGTTTGTGTGTTATGATCTTAGCATATTCAACTTTATGCTTAACCATTCATATGACTCATATGAGTAGAAGTAGAGCTAGGTTGAGGTGGCGGTTCATCGTTCCTTTGGGTTTGCCCATGTCCTATGCTTATCGATACATAGGGTCAGAGTCCTGGGGGGATATGGGTAATTTCCTTGTACACGGGCGAGGTGCTTGGGTACACGGGAACCTTCGGATATGACGGTACCCCCCGGTTGAGGGGTAGGCGGCAGATGGTGACAGCCCTGTCCGTCCTTTGTAATCCCCACGTTTGGGTATTGTGTAAGAGTTTTAAAGTCTCTCGCGCTTGCTAGTAGACCAGTGCTCGGTGATCTCCCCGTCCATCTTACATTTACACTACAAGAGATGTTACCTTCTATGATGGCTCATTTAGGTCACAAACAGAGGATTTTATGTCACCATAATACACTCCGTGACAATGCAGTGACGAAATACCTATCGTCACCGAAGGTGCGTGTTAAAGCACCTTCCATGACGATTGAGAGTATATCGTCACTGAGTTGGTGATAGCAATATTTTCGTCACCAGCAATAATGACGATCATTATTGTCATTAAAACTGTCATGAAATCTCAACTAGGCAACTACCATGTGTGCCTATGCAGTGACAATATTAACCATACAATTGAATTCAACAAACGACAGCCATACATTGATTCATAACAAATTTCATAGTCAACATCCATTCAACATCTTAGAAGCAACAATCTCAACCATACATCCAGCTCATTCATACATCCATCTCAGTCATACATAACAACTTGAAGTGTGAAATAGTTTGCAAGCTAAAGCAATACTAAGTTCATAGTTTGTATTGTAGCAGCCACAAGCACACCAAAATGCTACAGAGTTCACCAAAGACTCTTACCAGCCCAAATTCTAGGGATAGATACAAAAGGCATAATTGAACCAACTCGCCTGGATGCATATCTAGATGACGAGGATGCTCACAAATTTTAGGGAGGAGTGACTTGACCCTGATTGAAGTGAAGAATCAGCTGTCGAAGGAGGGCATGAGTTTCTTGATGTCCCTTCTTCAAGCTGTCAATTTCGTGTGCTTGGCTAGCCACCTCTTGCTTAAGTTGTGCAGATTCTTGCTTAAGTTGCGCAGATTCTTGCTCCTTAGCCTCAAGTTGAGCCTGTAGCTCCCACACCTGTGAACTAACTACACTTCTACTACTTGGCTTGGAGATTGGCAGCCCCACATTTTGAAGAAATGTACTTGACTTTGGCAGCACCTTGGAAACAATTTCAATAGAAGACATCGACTATTGGCCTTCTTGCATTGGTTTAGCCTCAATTGCTTCCATAGCATCCTAGCAACAGAATCATACAAAAATTAGTATTGACTTTGGTACATATTTCTAGCAGTATAGGAAAAATAACCTACAATAATACTTACAGAGACCTAAAAATGACCTTACTTTAGCCAAAATAGCCTCAAACATCGTTTCAAGCATGTATGAAGTTAAACTCAAACAAGAGCTAAAAGTAGTATATGAAGGAAAAGACAGTATACTTGTAGTATATCATATTTGAATTTAGAAGACTATATACTCCCAACTTGGGAAATGAATCATGTAACAAAGTAGTCATGCAAAAAGTATATCATAACTCTTGCAACATCATTTCTGACAATAGCAAAAACAGCCCACAATCACTTCCAATCATGAAGGCAATAGCTGCAGCCGGTGCTGCGTGCACAGTTCAGATTTGAAAGGTTCAGATTCTATGCATCAGATTTCAATGGTTCAGATTATAAGCAGCATGCAGCAACAGCTGCACCACAAGAAGTGCAGCCGATCAGGCCAAATATTCAAGTTGACTTTCAAGTATGTCTTGCAAAAGAGGGGAACAATACTTACAATTGCATTTTTGATAGGCTCACAAAAACCACTTTTCTTGCTGCAATGCATCTCCTTGAACAAATCAATTGCAGTGGGCTCTGTGTCTTTATATTTTTCTTGTTTCTAAAATGATGAGAAATCAACTTAAACTTGTTAGCTTGAACCAATTTCATGGTTTCTCATTTCAAACAATGTGCAGCAGACTTTATCTATAATTCATGTAGATTAGAAGATCAACAACAAGATCACATAGCATTAAATTTGTCCTACCGTGACATAGGCATGTGCAATGTGACATCGAGAACCTGTACGCTGATGGAACTAGACTTTCGCACGATTAACTTAGTTTTTGACACAAGTGTCCTGTACACCACACAAGTTTGTAAGGTAAAGGAAATAAAAACAAGTACTAAAAAGGGACTACAAATGCCATTAAAATCTGAACTGTCTAGATATGTACACATTTATCAGCAACATCACCAATGTCATACCTTGTGTTTTGGGTTGGACCACATCTCCACTAATGCTCTCCATTGATCATCAGTCATACACGTCACAGGTGACGTTGTCCTCACTAGATTTGCTGGAACTCCATCAAAGTACTTCTTTTTCAGCCCATGCCTCATCTGACATTGTCCACCCTTTAGCATGTCAACACAAGCAGCTCGTACATCCACACTATTAGTGTCCATGTCGAATGGGATCTAGTAAAAAAATAGAGATTAGATTTGAAAACGAAAAGGACACAATGAACTATGATTGAACAAGTCAAATAGATATTGACTTACAGCAACTTTGCCAATGTAGGCTTCAACAAGATGTTTATTATGTTTCTCCTTGTACTGCTTCCAGTGTGGAAAGATAGGTGTATGCAGCCTGAGTGAGATCCCAGCCTCTGATGCAAGTTTTGCAGCTTGCATTGGTGCCTCCGGCCTTCTATTCCCTTCAACAATGTCAATTTTAATCTTTGTCCCTAGCCCTCTATTCAACGCATCCAACTCTTTGCCTATATATTTTCCCCGTGGTACCTGTTGTGCACTTGTAAATAATGCACCTAACAAGATTTCATTTGTAGAGTTAGTAGCAAATATGTTCCAGATTTACTAAATAAGTATCAATCTAATTTTATTAGCATATCTGAATGTTGATGTGCACCTAACAAGCAATGAAGTCTACAATGAAGCATCATGATAGAAACAAATGAAGCCAGTAACTTTGATCTAGTAACTTGCCTTCATCATTGTTGTTGATGTGCTCCTAATTCTGGCTTGTAGTAGTATTGGTAGATGCCAATGCATCATGTGTGACAATAGCGAGGCTTGGATTGGCAGCAGTCCTTTGCCTAGTAACTCTAGTAGTTTCCCCTTGTTCTGATTTCATCTTCGTCATGTTGGTTAGAGGCCTCATCATCCTCAGGATTGTACAGAGATCCAGATTTTTTAGGAACATCATCCTTGTTCCTTGCACTTTTACCCTTAACTTGTGCAACTAGGGTACTGAGCCCAAGGCTTTGGAAGAATTGGTCGTTCCTCATAATGTTTTGATCCCTCTATCTTAAATAATCAAGTGCCATTGCTTCTGTACATTCAATTAAAACTACTGTAAGGGAGTAGTCAGAGCAAAAAATAAAAATGTATGCTGCTGCTAGCAAAATAAAAACATATGCTGCTAGCAAAAAGTGTATGCGGCTGCTGCTAGCAAAAAGTGTATGCCGCTGCTGCTAGCAAAAAGATCCTACATTATTTACTATTTCTAGATTACCACTGATTTCCCACACATGTAAATGCTCCTGCAACTTCTGTGTAGAACTTCTGAACTTTTAGATAGGCTCCGGATTCACCAAAAAGCCAGTTCAATATTTGCTAATAACTATCAAAGGATCTCCTTAGTCATGGTATTTAGGATTGTTAGGCAACCATTCTTGCAAAGTGAAACTCTACTTTCCCCTATTTACCAAATTTAATTCTGGTTTTACTACTTTTGAAAATACACATATATAATGGATTAATAGCTGGATCCTATAGGAAACTACTTAGATTTCTTATGTTTGGAAATCAGCTGAATATGTATTGACGCATTCCATGCATGCAAATGTACAAGAATTTTCTCCTATAATGTACTAGTATACCGAAAAGGATGAAATGAATTGGAATATAAACCTTGCTGTTGTGTCACTGTTCAATGTTTTGTATATGAAAACTAAGATCGAGATCTTCCCGTCCATCTTACACTTAGTTCTAACTCTAGTCATATAACTTGTATAATCATTAATTGTTCATTGCACGGCTATATTAGAACATACTGGCTCTGCTTAGGAATATTCTTTTATTCTTTGTTTTCCCTTTTATCCTTGAGGTTGGCTCAGATGTGTGTTCACTATCCTTGAAATACCGTTTTTACCCCTGTCATGAACTATCGGTTTACTATGCAAGTATGTAATCTTGTTCATGCTCATGCTAGACTCTTATACCTTGCCCTCCTTTGGAAAAATATAAATAACGATACCCTGAATACTTCTGGGTGAAATGCTACAACGATAGATCCGTGCGCTTGTGGATATTTTTCGTAATCATTAAGAACTATCGTAGTTGGTGTTTCTTGGCGACGTCACTAAGGTTTACTCAATCTTAGTGGTGGTGTTAAGAAATGCCAACATGCATTTCTAGTGTCGTTATCGAGGATGGACTTAAAACCTCCACACTCGGTGATTGCGCTAAGAAATACCAACAAGCATTTCTGGCGCCGTTGTCGGGGAGGGCACATGTTAAAGAATCTAGTAGGACATGATCATGAGCACATGCATGTAATGGTAGCCATAGTTTATGCAGGCTAATTCTACTTATTTTCTTCCTGTTGTGGATGAAAACAGGATAGTTTGAGTGGTTTTGACCTGCTGGATAACAACACAGAAAACCCGGAGGCACTCCTAAGGAAGAGCTAGTCTTGTGTCGCTGCTTCTTCTGCCACTCCACCAGCAAGTGAACCAGTCACCCCTGCACCATCCGCTACTACTACTCTGGCCAAGACACTCCACAACTACTCCACCCCAGCTATCGCCAATGTGCCCGTTGGGCCCGCTGTCAACACGGGAGCTGAAAACTTCGAGCTTCGCACTGGCCTGATAACGATGGTGCAGGCAAATCAATTATGTGGTTTGCCTAGCAAGGACGTAAGTGCACACTTGTAACACTTCCTGGAGCTGTGCGACACCATCATCATCAAAGACGTCGCACCAGCTAGCATCAGGCTCTGTCGGTTTTCCTTCTCCCTTGCGGGGAAGGAGAAACAGTGGTTCTACAAAGAGAAGGAAGTTGTCAATACGTGGGACAAATGTTCTGCGGTGTTTCTCGCAAAGTTTTTCCCCATGGTCAAAACCAATACCCTGAGGGGGAAATTTTCAAACTTCTAGCAAACTTCAATAGAATCCATCCCCAAGGCGTGGGAGAGGCTGTAGGATTACATCCAAGTATGCCCGCACCATGGGATGAAAAACTGGCTCGTGCTCCAGAACTTCTATGAGGGTACGCCCATGTCGAAGGGGCACATAGATGCCGCTGCTGGAGGAGCATTTCTCTCCCTCACTATCAACAATGCCACATCCCTCATCGAGAAGATGGTGGCCAATCAAAGATAGGGGAGGAAAGAAAACAACAAAAAGGCATGCATACCGTGAAGGAGGCGGATATGCTTGCCACAAAAATAGATCTGTTATTGAAAAGACTGGACGAGCGTGCCGCTGAAAAGGAAGCCATGAAGAGGACCGTCTAGGCCATGGACTTACAAATGACTTGCGAAGTCTGCGGAGAGGTCGGACACTCAGGGAACAACTGCCCAAAGACCCATGATGAAGCAGCGTACATCTACAACGGGTTCCAACAAGGTAACAATAATGGGTGGAACAATTAATCCCGCCCACAAGGAGGTAATTCAAACTTTAACTCAAATTACAATTCGAATCAACCTTTCTTGAAAGACTTGGTATTAGGCCAGGCAAAAATTAATGAAAATATCACTAAAAAGTTAATGTTTAATGATAAAATGATTGAAAATATAAATTCAAAATTTGAAAATTTATCCTCCTCTGTTAAGAACCAATTAAGTTTTAATAAAATGATAGAAACTCAACTTGCTCAAATAGCTGCTGCTATTCCTATCAACCATTCGGGGAAAATCCCGGGGCAACCCGAGAATTCCCCCGAATTTGTTCATGCAGCTGCAGAGCAATGAAGGAGGAGAAGTCTTGTCGACGGACTATAAATATCAAGCCCTTACTGATGGTAAATCGGTAGTTATCTTTTAAAATTTCAAAATTTCAAAATTTCAAAATTTTAAAATTCAAAATTTAAAATTTGCTTCAAAATAAACTTTTCAGAAAAATAAAATAAAAATCATTTTCTGATAGTATAGATTTTTCTGTTATCATTTCTCTTTTTTAAAATATTTATGAGAATTCAAAATATAATAAAAATTTTATGGAGAATCAATTTCGAGAGCAAAATTTCGAATCTAAGGGAAGCACCAACGGCTACATCATCAACATAGTCGTTGGGAGCAACCGGCCAAAGGGGGGCAGCAGCTGACCCACCTTTGGTGTGTCAGGCAACGATGCTTCTTCTTCTTCTTCAACGGCTAGGAGCCGTTACCCCCTCCCCCTCTTGGCGGTGCTTCGCGCTATAAGTAGGAGAGCTCGGGCTGAGGCTCCCCTCATCCTCACACTCTCTATTTTTCACTCCCTCTCACTCTCACTTGCTCCACCACTTGCAAAAATATTTTCCAAAAAGCTCAAGTGCAAGGAAACTCTACAGAAAAATCCTACATTCATCACCACCAAGCCAAGCTCACGGGTTGTTCGATTTATTTTGGCTAACGTAACCCCATTTGCGAGTGTTGTTGTCTTTTCCGCCATGGGCATGTTCGGGAGGAAGGTCATCGGTGCTTTCAAGAAGGCAATGGGAGAAAGCTTAAGTTGCTCCTGTGGAAGCTCAAGTGCACGCTACACTGAGCCCGAAGAGAGCCCGATGCATGAAGACAAAGAAATGGTGCCAATGGAAGAAGAAGAGCAACCGATGGAGGAAGGCGACAATGATCCACACCTTGATTTGGAGGGAGCCCGGAAGATGCAAGCGTACAACCTCATCAAGAATCGTGAGTTCATCCACACGCTTGTGTATGGCCCCGACCTTCTCCAAAAGATAGGTATGGACACCGAATTCACCACCATCTAGAAAGCCGTTGGATGGGAGAATGTTGCTCCCGTCGACAAGCTTGGTTCTCGCCTCTTAACAATTCAATTCTTATGCTCTTAGCAAGAAGTTGAGGGTAGGATTACTTTCCGTATTTTTGAGAAGGAATACTATCTTACATGGAGAAATTTCAGCTCTCACTTAGGCTTTAATACAAAATGCTCAATTGCCATAGATCATGGTCTAAAAGGTTTTAATCGCCATGAATTTTGGAGAATGATTTCGGGTCAAAACGTAGTTGGCAAGTTTCAACCTCATAATATGAATATTCATCATCCTACTTTGAGGTTCATGCATCGTTGGATTGCCATGACTTTGTTTTCTATGCAAGACATAAGATTTGTTTATCATACCGAATTGCAAATTCTCTATGCCATGCTTAAACAGACTAAAATTGCTCCTGTGAAAGAGATATTTAAATATTGGTTACAAACTTTCATGGCTTCTAC